ACCTGCTATACATACGATGCTTTCATTGCCATCAGCGGTCCCCAAGCTTTTTGGCAAAAGGGACCATTTTCATGGAAGATAATTCCCCCTGCCCAGGGTGATGGGGGGTTGTTTTCAGGATGATTCAAGTTGCATTACAGCTACTGTGCCCTTTATTTCTATTATTATTCCATGAGCTCACCTCAGATCAGCAGGCATTAGATCCCAGATTTGGGGACCCCTGCCCTACCTGGTGGCAAGGTCAAGGAACACAGTGACTGCCCCCACCCCCCTCACAGAACACCAGTTCTCAGGCTTGTGTCAGGTACCAGGTATCCCAGCTGGGCTGCCTGTCAGGTTGTGAGACACCTTCCCTCCTGGTCTAGACAACTTCTCGGGGTTGAGGGAAGTAAGTCTAAACGGACAGCAGCAGGACAGTGGCTGGAAGGGTGGGAGTTGCAAATACAGCCCACCCCCTCCAACCTCCATGCTCCTGAGAAACTGCCCAAGGCCTGAATCATCTGGACCAGCAAACACTGTGCAGATGAGGGACCGATGCCAGCAATGGCGTGGGCTAAGCTCGCCAAGGCCAAGGGTGGTCCACCAAGGATGCAGAGCGCGTGGCATAGGAGTGTTTCCACGCTCTGAGCTGCAGAGGATGGAGCTGGGGCCGCCTTTGATCTCAAAAGCACTTCTCTTCAAAGAGCTCAAAGCACTCCCCAGATACAGCCTAATCCATCTTCTCCCCCATCCTCAGGGTTAGATCCTGGTAAGGAACTCAACCCGGCAACTCCTCCGGCAGACTGCAGCTCTGGTCAAAGTCAGGAGACTTTATACATGCGGACTTGGAGCCCCCACTGCAGACCAAGCCGACAGGGTCCTCCTGGGGTGTGGTTCCAGAATCCCTACTGGTGACGCTGCCTCCAGGCAGCCCTGTTCTACATCTGGAGAGCCCAAGCTTTTTTTCTGAATCACCATAAATGGCAGGATGCTTTCTACAGTGGAAGAGTTCACCATTCTGATGGACAGAAGTCTTTTCTCATATCAAACTACTCATATGTCTCCTAAGGTAAAGTATAAGTTTCTCCAAGTCTCTGCATGGTGCATGCAGAGAAGAGTGGCTTGGTTGCAATCTTGACATCCCTCCTCCTCGGAGGGAAGTGGAAGTGCTGGAGGGCACACACCCACCTCTGGAGGCACAGCGGAGGAGCTGGGCATTAGCCCAAGGTCACTGTATTCGACCAGCCCCCGCCTCACCCCACTGGGTAGTGGCTGCTTACCCGTGAACATGCAGCAGCATCAAACACTGAACCCAGATTCTAGCCCAAATCTGAGGGTTTCTCAACCCCTGTCCCAAGGGACAAGGCAGGGGGAGGTCGAAGGCTCCAAGACTTGCCTCTTTCCCCTGCTCCTGAGGTGCAGAATCAGAAAATGAAATCACCAGCAGGGAGGAAAGGCCCTGCGTTGTTTCTGACACTGTCTCAAACGCTCGAGTCTCCAGACATCAAGATGTCACCTCTAAGCATCCCACCTACTGCATCCTCCTCCCTCCCTCCCAGAGCCTGGAGGTGACCCTGGAGGATGCCGGGGGCCCTTCCTCACTCACTGCAGCAAAACTAACCACAAGGGGCATGGCCAGCCTGGGGAGCTGGGGCCCAGAACTTCCCCCAGGTTAGTTGTATTTCTCTGGGCCCCATGGGAGAGAGAACCGAGGTGTGTGGTTCAGAAAAGGAGGAGGAAGCCGAGGCTACTGCTGCGGCCAATGGCAACACTGTTGAGTGTTCCAACAGCCCAAGGATTTTCTGGTCGGCTCTGCGGCAGAATTTTTATGGCTCTGCCTCCTGGGTGTGATTGTAAACTCCTCACAGACGGGGCCTCTGTGCTCCGTTTGCCCAGTGCAGCCCGGCACAGAGTAACTGCCCGTTGTGCATGCATGCTAGGTTGCTTTAGTTGCGTCTGACTCTCTTGCAACCCCGCAGACTGTAGCCCGCCAGGCTCCTGTGTCCACGGAATTCTCCAGGTGAGAATACTGGAGTGGGTTGCCATTTCCTCCCCCAGGGGATCTTCCCAACCCAGGGATCAAACCCACATTTCTTACATGCCAGCTACTAGTCAACCACGACCGTACCCTGGTGCCCAGCCCCAGGTGGCCCACAGCAGTCAAGCCTCATCACCCTCTCTGGGTGATGCGCATGTCCAAGATAGAGTGACCCTGGTCTACTGGAGTTAGACCCTGAACTGAACAGTCGGCTCATGGGGGAGCCTGGGAGATGATCTGACAGTTGTCAGGGTTTCCCTGATTCCAGCCCAAATCAATCTATTCCCCAGGGGACTCTCCTGGGATCCAATGGCTAAGACTGTGCTCCCAATGCAGGGAGCCTGGGTTCAAACCTTGGTCAGGGAAATAGATCCCACATGTCATAACTAAAGATCCTGTGTGCCATAACTAAGACCCAGGGCAGCCAAATAAATTTTTTTTTTTTTTAATTCTCCAGACCTCCTTTTCTCACTAGCCAGAGTGTGTCCCTCCCTCAAACAAGCCCAAACTCGCCTCCTAGATGTTCCAGCATCACTTGGCCTCACCTGAGCCATTTGTAAAGCCTCCCATTTAACTATTCTCTATCTTTCTGTTGCTGCTGCTGCTAAGTTGCTTCAGTCATGTCTGACTCCGTACGACCCTATGGACAGCAGCCCACCAGGCTCCTCTGTCCACAGGATTCTCTAGGCAAGAATACTGGAGTGGGTTGCCATTTCCTTCTCCAGCATCCTTCTGTATCCTTGGAAGAAAAGTTATGACCAACCTAGACAGCATATTAAAAAGCAGAGACATTACTTTGCCAACAAAGGTCTGTCTAGTCAGAGCTATGGTCTTTCCAGTAGTCATATGTGGAGGTGAGAGTTGGACTATAAAGAAAGCTGAGTGCCAAAGAATTGATGTTTTTGAACTGGTGTTAGAGAAGACTCTTGAGAGTCCCTTGGACTGCAAGGAGATCAAACCAGTCAAGCCTAAAGGAAATCAGTCCTGAGTGTTCATTGGAAGGACTGATGCTGAAGCTGAAACTCCAATATTTGGCCATCTGATGGGAAGAACTGACTCGTTGGAAAAGACCCTGATGCTGGGAAAGATTGAAGGCAGGAGAAGAAGGGGATAACGGAGGATGAGATGGTTGGATGGCATCACCAACTCAATGGACATGAGTTTGAGCAAGCTCTCGGAGTTGGTGATGGACAGGAAAGCCTGGCGTGCTGCAGTCCATGGGGTTGTAAAGAGTCAGACACAACTGAGCAACAGAACTGATCCTTCTGGGGTTTCAGTTTCTTGTTTGACTTGAGCTACAAGGACCTCCAGGGATCACCTGGTTCAGGTAGAACCCAGAAGCAGGATATGATGAATGCTTTTTCTTTCTTTAAGGGAAGATAAGAGAACAGAGACTCCAATGGGACCTACTGTGTATTTCTTATTGCTGGGCTCCCTAGGTAAAGAACTCGTCTGCCAATGCAAGAGACACAAGAGGCACAGTTCAATCCCTAGGTCAAGAAGATCCCCTGGAGGAGGAAATGGCAACCCACTCCTGTATTCTTGCTTGGGAAATCCCGTGGACAGAGGAGCCTGGCAGGGTACAGTCCATGGAGTCACAAAGAGTCAGATGCGACTGAGTACACAGGTGCTATAGAATAGAAAACCTCAGAGCTCGTCACGTGTAAGGAGAGTGAGCATGTTTCATGAAACTTTGTTTTCAGTTATTCACACATGCAAGTGTGTGTGAGCTCCAAAGTCAAGTGCATGTCTTCTGATGAGTCTCAATCAGAAAGTTTAAACAGCACCAATCCTGTTCTCTAATGCTGCCAGTAAGGAAACAGGAGCACATTGCCTGAGGTCACACAGCTGGTCGGAGGCAGTTCCCCGGGTGGGAGCTCGGGGTGCTCCTGTCCCCTGTTTCAGAGCTCTGCTCGCTACAGGCCTCTGGGAAATCGACTGCCAGACAGTTCAGTGACCGCCCCCACCCCCCAGTCGAGAGTGAACTCCATCAGCTGACCCGGGGCAGGGGTAGCTGGCTGGGATGTGGACACAGAGGGCTAGAATTCCTGGCTGAACTAGCTTCTCCCACACAGCTGACAGTGACTTTGACTTGCAGCTCACGGACTTTATAACCATCATTAAACTGGGACAAAAGCTCGAATGGAGGCCACTTAGAGGTGGATGTGAGGACTGAAAGGCTCCAAAGTACGTCTCTCCCTGCGGGGGTGCAGGCCACAGAGGGGCCCCCTGCAGGGAAGATTCTAAGGCCTGAGCTGGGTCACTGCAGCCACTCGGGCCCCGGCCTCCCTAGGGAACCATTGGCCCCTCTGGGGGCGCCACCTGACTTTCCTGTGACTCCTTGGGGGTGATCAAGGCTGGGGTCAGAGACAGACTGATGAGGGGCAGAAAATAATCCAGCCCCTCATTTTCCAGGTGGGAAAAACTGAAGCTCAGAGAGGCCAAGAGAGCAGAGCAAGGTCACAGAGCTAGCTGGCTAGAGGGCCACACGTGGCACAGACCCAGAGCTCCTGATTTCCTGGTTCTGCTTCTAACATGCACACAGGAGGCGCTGGGACCTGTTACTCAGTGAGGCTGGGAGTCCTGAGGTCCCAAACGCTTGGGCCTTACTGCCCAGAGGCGGGTATCTAATGGGTCTTGGGTACCAGCCTATCTGGCTTAACTGAATACACACTGCCTCTTACGTGCTGTGAATTCTGGGGGCGCATTACTTACCCTTCCATTGCCTCGATTTCCCCATCTGTAAAATGCAGATAATGATAAATATCTGAACGAGTTGTGTAGACAAGATAGCACAGGGCCGAGCACGGCTGAGGGCCTAGTACACGTGAGCCAGGGCTTACATACATACACACAGTGTCAGCTCATGCCTAGGCCCAGCTCAGGTGGATGGCCGAAAGGCGGTGTCGCCAGATATAAGACAGAAGGGGTGTTCCTGGCTTGCACGTGTCTGTGCAGAGGGCGGGCTGACACGGGTACCCACTTTTTCAGGGCGCACTCCAGCTCGTTCTTCTCCTCGTGGGCTTCTAGGAGCTGTGAGAAGATTCTGGTCAGGAAATCCTCGAAGTTGGACAGTAAGTGAGGCTCATCCTTCTTGAGCCGCAGCCAGAGCTGTTTGACATCAGCTTCACTGCAAGAGAAAAAGGAGCATTGAGGTGGAAGTGTGGACACGAGGCTTCCCGGGGGCGACAGGGGCAGCCAGAGCATCATCACTGTGGTCAGAACAGTGACGTCAGGGGCTGGCATTTATTGAGTGCTTGCTGCATGCTGGCTGTTTCATGAGAGTTTGTTCATTTGGTCCTCCAGTCACCTGTGAGGCAGGTGCTGATAACACCCCCGCTTACGGGCGAGGAGACGGACAGAGAGGGGTGAATGAGACATCTCAGGTCACTCAGCTGCGAAGCGATGGAGCCAGGAGGCAAGCTCAGGCCTGTCTGGTCCTATGCTGGCCTCCTACTGGCCACACCCAGGGAAGCGGGGCAGACAGGAGCCCAGTGCTTGTGAGGACAGGCGTCGTGGAGCTGAAGGAGAAGGACTGTCGCCCCAGGAAGGATGGTCCTCATGGCTGAGAGGGAAAGACATGCTGGCTGATGGGTGGCAGAAAACGACTGTCACTGCAGGGAATGGAAGGGGAGACATTGCGCCCCACTGGGGCCCGGAGGCAGCAGCGTGACTGACAGGCGAGAGGAAGGGAAGGAGCAAGTCTGAAAGATGCAAGTGTGCACTTTGGGAGACGGTGGAGTGAGGAGGACGGAGCAGGCAGAGAGACAGACACAGAACGATGAGCCCAGAGCCGCGTCACCACCGCCCCGGCCAGCACCCTGGGCTCGTGTGCGTGTGCTTGGCAGAGACATACAGGGTCACGGTGATCAGGGAGGGGAGGGCTGGCAGGCGGCACGCCACAGTCCCCACTCTCCCTCTGGAGAGATTCAACAGTCTACAGCCAGTGATCAAACATACAGCCAGAGAGCAATCTGATTTGCAGTCCATTAAATTCCAAAGCCACTATGATGCAAAGGTAGCTACAACCAGGGGCCCTCAGGATAAAGAATAAAATCCCTTCTGCTTGTATAACAAGCACGGTATCTGAGAAATTTTATTCAAAAGTAATACTTGATGGTGCCATGTTAGCAATGTGCCTGGGGCGTAGATATTACTCTCTGCACCAAGCAGAGAGGAGGCTCACCAAGAAGTGAGGCTGGCTCTGGTCAGTTATCCGATTGTCTCTCCCTCTCTCTTTCCTTTCCTTTCCTTGCTCCATTCTATCCAAACATCCACCAAGTCATCAAGACCAATCATCCACCCATCCATCCAAACATCCACCCACCCACCCACTCATCCATCTATGCATCCACTCATCCATCCATCCATGCATCCACCCATCCATCCATCCATCCATCCATCCACCCACCCACCCACCCATCCAACAAGTATCTATTACTTGTTGAAAGTGTAGCACTGAATTGGATGACATGAGAGATTTTGGAAATGACAGAAGGGGAGGTAAGGAGCCTCCCTGCTTTCCAGAATGAGTTCCATTCCGCACCCCCCCACCCCCGCCACAGAACATGTGGTCATCTGCTCTATTGTACTGTAGAGACAATGGAGGTGGCACAGAGGGTTCCAAGATGAAGGGTCTCAGAGCGATACCACAGTGACCTTCCATCACTGTGGCAGGTTGCCCCTCATGAAGTAAATGCATTATAAACTCAAGATGCACCTCACTGGCTAAGGTCTGTCTGTTTGCATCCCTCAGGTTCCTATTGGAACCTGGCAGTGAGCCATTTGGGCTGGAGCCTCCTCTGAAATTAGCAGACCTACGTGATGCTCTTCAAAACTCTTTGAACCACCTAGTTGTGGTCACATCTTTTTTTTTTTTTTTTTTTTTTTTTGGCACATTGGGCAGTCACTCAGTCATGTCCAACTCTTTGTGCCCTTATGAGCTGTAGCCTCCAAGGCACCTCTGTCCATGGGATTTTCCAGGCAAGAATACTGGAATGGGTTGCCATTTCCTTCTCCAGAGGATCATCCCAACTCAGACATCAATCCCATGTCTCTTGCTTCTTCTGAATTGGCAGGCAGATTCTTTACCACTGTGTCACCTGGGAATCCCCAAATTTCTGGAAAAGGAACAAATCTCTGAACCCTGGATGAAAGATAAGCCAAGGCTGATCAGCTGCCCGATCACTCAACCAACTGGAGCACTGAAAAAGTTGGGAGTCCGGGTGTTCTGCCTACCATGTCTGGACCAGACCAGGGCCACTCTCTTGGAAGAATGTAGGGGTAGGGGGTGAGAAGGGGTTCTGGGTGGTCAGTCCATCCATCTCCCTGCTTCCAGGACAACACACAAACCAACAAGATGTCATCTTGATTGGTGAGATCTTTAAAGACCTCTGAAATTTTCCCAGTCTCTTCTGCTTCCTTGTCTGCGGTCCTGCAGTCTGGACGGTCCCCCTCACATTACAGTGTTTAACTTAAATGAGAACTGCAATGCCCAGACATCATCTTATTTTATATATATATATATATAATTTTATTTGTTTAATTATATAAATATATATATAATTTTATTTATTTCTTTTCGGCTGTGCTGGGTCTTCATTGTTGCACACAGGCTTTCTCTAGTTTTGGAAAGCAGGGGTTACTCTGCACTGTGATGCGCGGTCTTCTCATTGCGGAGGCTTCTCCTGCTGCGGAGCATGGGCCCTGGGACACGCAGGCTCGGTAGCTGCAGCACACGGGCTCAGTAGTGGCGGCCCGGGGGCTCTAGGGCGTGCTGGTTTCAGTAGTTGCGGCTCTTGGACCCTGACAGTGCAGAGGCGTCTGTAGTTGCAGCATGCAGACTCAGTCGTTCTGGCTCACTGGTTCTAGAGCACGGGCTTAGTTGTTCCAAGGCATGTGGATATTCCCAGACCAGGGTCGAACCCACCTCTCCTGCATTGGCAGGTGGACTGTTCATTGGGCCACCAGGGAAGTCCCCAGGCCCCCTATTCTGTGTGTTGGTTTTGTCTGCTCTTCGAATCTTCCCTGGAACCTTCTCTTCTGCAGGAGCCATCATGTGGGCTCAGCCCTGCCCTGGGCCCTTGACAGAGGTCCTCCGGGCAGCCTCCATGAGGTGGCCAGCCCGGAAGCGATGGGTGGACAGAGACGCACCTGGCTTTCGTGACAGTCCCTTGGCCCCCACATGGCCCTCTCCTGCTCCCTCCTCCAGGACAAGGCTTCACAAGGTCACGGGCATGGTTACTGGGCTCTGGCCTCTTGTCCCTGGAGAAGCAGGGTGTGGTGTCCCCTCTGGCCTGCCCACGCTCTTGCCAGCCTGTCTCAACTCTGCCACAACCTAGAAGATGCTTTGAGTTACACACGCTGTCTTGGCCCACACATTGTGTGAAGACCACTCTCTTCTTCCTCTTTATCCTTTTCCTCCATAATCTTCCTCTTTCCAAGCTCCAGAAATAGCAGCTCCAATCATCAGGACACTCCCGCCCCTCATGAAACTCACTCCAAACCCAGGACCCAGAGACCCCAGCACAAAAAGACAAAAGGTGATGATGAAAATGGGGGCAAAAGTTATTCCACATTTCTCAGGCCTCTGTCTAGTTTCCACCAGTTATGACATCCCTCGATATCATTTCACTGAAAATGCCTGCACTTACATTTATGTGTCTCTTTCTTACAAAATGCTTTTTGCCAAAAAGGAAAAAAAAATGGGAGTTTTATGTTTGGTTTGAAGTGGCAACCAATCTAAAATTTTCAGCTGAGTTACTGATCACCCAAGTGACGAGCTGGTGAAAATAGGTCCACCTCCCACCTTAGCTTCCAGAACAGGTTTAGTTCGGCTCAGGGATCCAACATGCAGTCCCGTCCACATAAGCTGCTTTTGGCAGGAGCACAAGGGATGCACTGCAGACCCAGGGACCCAGCGGAGGTGGAGATGCAGGTGAGCAGGCAGTGACAGGAAGCCTCAGGTGCGGCTCACTGAAAACCCTCAAGGCCTGGCACTACCCTCCGGTGGGTGAGCACCCCTAAAGTGAAGGAGACTGAGCCAAGGACCGTGCTGATTATAGACAACGGAGAGTGAGAGATCGGGGGATCAGTGTGTTTCCCATGAAAATAATGCAAAAGGCAGGGTCAGAGCCCTAAATCCTGGTACCCAGCCAAGTCATGGCCAAGGGCAGGCTCCACGCAGTCAGTGGTCTAGCTGGAAGCAGAGACCCTGGGCCTGGCTGAGGGCTTCATGAGCATTAAGCCTGAAGGTGGCAGATGGAGAGGTTGTCCCTGGGCTGGGGCCCGTCCCCCAGGTCGTGGTCACCACTTACTCTTCCAAAACCTTTTGGGCTCCAAGTCTGTCCATGAGGGTCTGGAACTGGGCTTCTTCATCTTCGTCCATGTCACCCAGGTCCTCGTCCCCTCTGCTCTGATACACCTTCTCCTCCTGGAGCTGGGCTGGCTGCTCACTTCCATCTTCCTGACTTGGGTTATTCTGGCTGAAGAAGAAGTGACCTGGGGGACGCATGGGCACAAGGGTCTGAATTAGGCAATGCTCACCAAGGAAGATCTTCACCTTCTCAGCAGCCAGGAATCACTTGAGGTTCAGCAGAGAAACAGAAAAGGGAGATCAGACTTTCATAGCAAAGATCTTTGGATGACATGCTCTGGATTCTGTGTCTTTCCTACTTGGATAAGATTCTGCCAGAGATGCTAGAACCTGGGAAAGGCAGAGTGCATGGCAGGTACTATGGCATTTTGTAGTTCTCAAAACTTTAAAGGCTGACTTCAGATCATCTCTTCACAGATTCCTTCTCTAAATAAGACCTTACCCCCATCACACTCCAGCAGCCCAACTCCCTATGCTTCATGTTACCACCTAGTCCTCCTGGCCACCAGCATCAATGTGCTTCACATTACAAGTCAGTTATCAATTTCTGAATGTCAGGAAAGGCATCAAAGATTTATAAGCAAATATAAGCTTCCTGGAAGGAGGCAGATGTGTGGTGATTTATCTGACCTGTATTTGTTCTAATCAATATCTGATGAGTATCAGATCTGATGGTGTATCTGTTTGTTTGTTTTTTTTAAATATCATTCACTGATCTCGGTTCTTTCCCTCCTGGTCACTTTGAGAACAACTGGTTTATTCAAACCTTTTACAAATTCCTCTGAAAGCTGGTGCCCCTCAACCTGGAAGACTTAGCCAGCCAGGTTGCAATGAGCCGTGTAAGCCTCCCACTCTGAGGTCCCAGACAGATTGGAAACCCCATCTCAGCTCACCTCTTATGCTGAGCCTCCCGCCAGAGCTCCTCTGCTCACTCTTTGCACCAAGGGGGCAGTGTCGTGAGCAGGGATGGTGGGCACATGAAAAGAGAACAAATGACCCACAGTCTGGAACCTTCGAGAGGCAGGAAAGCGTGTACAAGGCGGGGCCTCGGGGATGACGGAGCAGAACGGCTCCTTATAGGGCTCTGTGCTCAGACGCTCAGTGTCCAAGTCTCTGCAGCCCCCCCAGACTGTACCCCGCCAGGCTCCTCTGCCCATGGGATTCTCCAGGCAAAAATACTGGAGTGGGTTGCCATTTCCTCCTCCAGAGGATCTTCCTGACCCAAGGATCCAACCCGCGTGTCTTACATCTCCTGCATTAGCAGGTGGTTTCTTTGCAACTAGCACCACCTGGGAAACCCATTTATGGCTTTAGGCTGACCCGTACCCTGGGGCCCCAGCACCCATCAGAACTTACTAAATCCAGTGGTGAACTCCTCTGGGGTCAGAAAGCCATTGCCATCAGCATCCAGGGCATCAAACACATCCTCCAGGTCCTCCAAGCTGAGGGGCAGCTCCTTGTGGAGTCTCTGAAAACAATGCAGACTGCTATGGTTAACACTGCTCATCACAGAGGGCTGCCTGGGGGAGGCAGCACCTTCCATCCCCAGCTGAGAAAAGCCAGAAGTCAGATTCTGAAGCTTTACCATCCTTCTCCTCCTCTGAATATTAGGAATCCACCATCTCTTGGGTACCTGCTCATCTGCTAGGCAACTTGCTGAGTGATTTATAAGTAAATATGTGTATATTTCTTACTATATTTATATATAACTTAATATATATAGGATTTCCCAGGTGGGCTCTCAACTACTCCTGAAAAGACATGAACTGCCACTGGCTTAAGGTCTGGACAAGAGTATTTGTGTTGTAAAGAGGAACTGGCCCAGGTTGGGTGCGAGGTCACTGGACCTGGGTCCTGGCCCCAATCACCCAGGGAGGGAAGGGCAGACACGGACAGATGAAGAACAAAGCTGAGCTTCCCCCTGGCCTCTGCCTGATGTGCAGTGGCCCCAGGCCAGGGTTAATTTGCACCCCTGAAGCAAGCACCCTCTTGTACCCTAATAATCAAAGCTTCCCAGTGGTGACTCCCCAAGGGAGTTCATTAGAACCCAGCTGTCCGTCTCCCTTCCTCCCCGTTCCCCTGGGGACGGCTGCACAAATTTCTCAGTGTGGATGTGACAGACAGCTGAAGACAAGGAGCACGCGGAGTCGCAAGAGGGAAGACACACGCCCATCTGAACAGTCAGAAAGAGCCGGCAGGTGTGAGCGCCCATGACGTAACTTGCGAGACACTCAGCTTGATCCTCTGGCAATCTTCTAGCTGGTAAGCCATAAAGAATTTGGCAGGTACATGCATTAAGGAAGATGGTGATGGATCACAGCGTGGGGAGACAGGATGGTGTGGGAGCCGTTTAGAATCATTGAATTAAATATGAATGGGTTTTTTTTTTAAGGAAGGGGAGTGAGACTGTGTGTGCAGGTTCTGGAAGTGCATCTGCTGAGCAAAGAGCAGAATCTCTAACTTATCGACAATCCATAAACCAGCTGTCCCCAAGCCAAAGGCAGAGAACACGGGGCAAGGAGGGGGGTCAATCTGGCAAGCGGGAAGTCCATTAGCTCCTTTTGAAGCTAAAGGCATCCCATTGGAGGCAGGGTGAAAACCAAGATTCCAGTCCCTTCCTTGTGATAATCTGCCTCTCTCCCAGCCTTAGCCTGAATGTGATATCTAAAGTGTGGTCTTGGGCATCCCTGGGGGTCCATTGGTTAAAAATCCATCTGCCTATGCAGGGGACATGGGTTCGATCCCTGGTCCGGGAGGATCTCACATGCTGTGGAGCAAGTAAGCCCGTGAACCACAACTACCGAACCCTCACTCTAGAGCCCAGGAATTGCAACTACTGAAGTCCATGTGCCCTAGAACCCAAGCTCCGCAACAAGAGAGGCCAGCAAAATGAGAAGGCCACACCCTGCAACTAGAGAGTAGCCCCTGCTTGCCACAACTAGAGGAAGCCTACTCACAGCAACAAAGACCCAGTGTAGCCAAAAATAAATAAATAAAATTTTTAAAAATAATAAAATGTGGCCTCTGTGCTGGACCCAGAAATGGACTGGAAGGAATTTCAGACTCAGTGAGACCTTCAACTTGCCTCTAACCACCGAGAGGTGAGCACCCTTGCTCTTGCTAGCATCACCCAGGAAAAGCTAGGTCACACCCCATCTCTGACACCACTCCTGAATCCAACACTTCTGAGCACAAGTCCTTCCCATGACGGAATCCCACTCCTTGTCTCTGTCTCAGTCCAGCTTCCTCCTCCTGCTGTCACTGAAACTGAGGGGCAGGAGGACGACAATCTTACACCTTCCAAGTCATCCTCGGTCTTCACATCCCGGCAGATCGACACCAAGGGCTTCTCCAGCCTCCTCGGCAAACTGCATACACCAGATCTCTTCACCTCTCTTCATTGGCCCTACTTGCAAAATCCTTTAGTCTTAATAACCATAATTAGCTCTTATTTATCTTTCGTCTCCGGGCCTGCAGAGCTGTGTAAAACCAACTTATTCTGCTCTTGTCCCCCGGGTACCTAGTGCTGTCTGCATTTTTAACTAAGGGAGCCAAGCTGAATGGAGAGGGATGCAATGATTCATTCCATGGCGTTGATAACCCACAAAGCTCAGAGATTTGCCTGAAGTCACAGTGGAGGCCAGCCTAGGATAAAAAAGTGATTTCTCCTTCAGGGCCTCTGCTGTGGGCTAGTGGTTCTCTGGGCACCCCTTCCTTAATTCCCTTGTCTCATTTCTATCCCACCCCTGCCACCAAAATCTGCCCAGCCAGCACTGCCCATACCAGCCCTCCAGAATTCTGCTTCATGGGTGGGGCCTGTCTCCCTTCAGCTTCACCTGGACGGGCAGGCAGAGGATGGAAGGAGACAGTGAGGAGGCAGGGCCACCCTCCTCACTGAGCCCACAGCCCGACCAGCTCTTCACAAGTCCACGCTCCCCCAAACCCTGGCCTCCCTCCACCACCTTCCAGTTAACCCTCAATCCCTGCCTCTTGGCATCATTTCCCCAGGAAGGCATGGCAGCCCCCAGCTTAGGAGAGACCCAGACTCCCCAAAACACGTTGCACTCATTCACAAGTTTCACCTCACTTTGTACTTCACATCCTGATGGATGCAATTAGTGGATAAATGTCTGCTCCTCCAGCCTGGAAGCTCTGGGAAGAGGGGCCCCACTCATGTTTACTCACTACTGTACCCCCAGGATCTGGCCCAATGCTGACAACCCAGGGGTATGCAACTTGTTCACTTATTGAACGAGCGAATCAATAAACGAGTGACCACGAGTGATCTCAGGCGGATCTGAGCTCCTATTCACGGAGCTCTGGTTGACACCCCACCCACTCCAGATCCCTACCAGCCCCCCTGGGAATGCTCAGCAAGGTCTTATAAACTGGGCCCTAGAACAGGAGTCTAGGCCCTAGGATAGCTGTGCTGAGGGGGCAGGCTCCCAGAGCCAGGGACAGATGCTGTCTCCTGCTGCACCCCAACAGGAGAGACCCTCTGTCTTCCAGGTCACCAGCCGCTAACATGTCTTGTGCATCATAAACCAAAGGTTTGCACAGTTTCAAACACATCTAAGGGAAACACTCACTAAAGAAAACACCAACAAAATGAACTTGTTATGTGATCTTATTTTAAAAGAATAAAACTGAGTGTATGTGCACAGAAAAAAAAAAGTTTCTGAAGGACACATACCAGCCCTTCACACTGGTTTTTCCCCAGAGGGTGGCACTTGGAGGGAAAGGTGGAAATTGTACCTTTATTTTCCTCCTGTCTCTAATGTGCTTCTTTAAATGGTGAAGTTGGTTTTACTTTCATAAACAAGGATAAAACCACAAGGGATCCACCTTTACAGCCAGATTGACGTCTCCATCTTCTCCCACAGTCTCCTGTTCAGACCCCTGTCCCAACGCCAAAAGCGCTCATCCCTGTGGTTGAGCCCAGCCACACCCAACGTCTTCAGAACAGGACTGTGAGGTCTGAAGGTGGGATCTACCTTGATTCTGCCTGGTGCTTTGAGGTGCTTGGTCCGGGCTGACAACTGGGTTTAGACATGCAATTAGTGGATAAATGTCTGCTCCTCCAGCCTGGAAGCTCTGGGAAGAGGGGCCCCACTCATGTTTACTCACTACTGTACCCCCAGGATCTGGCCCAATGCTGACAACCCAGGGGTATGCAACTTGTTCACTTATTGAACGAGCGAATCAATAAACGAGTGACCACGAGTGATCTCAGGCGGATCTGAGCTCCTATTCACGGAGCTCTGGTTGACACCCCACCCACTCCAGATCCCTACCAGCCCCCCTGGGAATGCTCAGCAAGGTCTTATAAACTGGGCCCTAGAACAGGAGTCTAGGCCCTAGAATAGCTGTGCTGAGGGGGCAGGCTCCCAGAGCCAGGGACAGATGCTGCCTCCTGCTGCACCCCAACAGGAGAGACCCTCTGTCTTCCAGGTCACCAGCCGCTAACATGTCTTGTGCATCATAAACCAAAGGTTTGCACAGTTTCAAACACATCTAAGGGAAACACTCACTAAAGAAAACACCAACAAAATGAACTTGTTATGTGATCTTATTTTAAAAGAATAAAACTGAGTGTATGTGCACAGAAAAAAAAAAGTTTCTGAAGGACACATACCAGCCCTTCACACTGGTTTTTCCCCAGAGGGTGGCATTTGGAGGGAAAGGTGGAAATTGTACCTTTATTTTCCTCCTGTCTCTAATATGCTTCTTTAAATGGTGAAGTTGGTTTTACTTTCATAAACAAGGATAAAACCACAAGGGATCCACCTTTACAGCCAGATTGACGTCTCCCTCTTCTCCCACAGTCTCCTGTTCAGACCCCTGTCCCAGCGTCAAAAGCGCTCATCCCTGTGGTTGAGCCCAGCCACACCCAACGTCTTCAGAACAGGACTGTGAGGTCTGAAGGTGGGATCTACCTTGATTCTGCCTGGTGCTTTGAGGTGCTTGGTCCGGGCTGACAACTGGGTTTAGACAGGTGTCTCAACCTCTGCACTACTGACATCTCAGGACGGAGGATTCTTTGTTGGGGAGAGAGCAGCTCTGGATCTTATAGGACACTCAGCAGTATCCGTGGACAATGCTTTGTAGACGCCAGCAGCATCTCTCTCTCTAGTCACTCTGGTCAAGAATGTCCCCAGGGCTTCCTTGGTGGCCCAGTGGTAAAGAATCCACCTGCCAATGCAGGAGACGTGGGTTTGATCCCTGACCCTAGACGATTCGCAGGCTCAGAAGCAGCTAAGCCTCTGTGCCACAACTGTTGAGACCGCGCACTAGAGCCTGGGAGCTGCCACCGCTGAGCCTGAGCGCTGCAACTCCTGGAGCCCGCGCACCCTGGGACGGGCGAACGGCCACGAGAGAAGTCACGGCAGTGAGAAGCCCGCGCACCGGAACTAGAGAGGAGGCCCCGCTCGCCACAACTGGAGAAAAGCCCGCTCAGCAACAAAGACCCAGCACAACCAAACATAAATAAACTAATTTATTAAAATTTTTTAAATGGTCTACATAAAAATATCTAAAAGAAAAAAAAAAAAGAATATCCCTAGACATGGCCAAAAGTCTTCTAAGAAGCAAAATCATGTTTGCTCCCACAGATTGGACACAAGCGAGATCAGTGCGTGTTGGAGATGACCGAAAGGGACACTCTCCAGCAGAAATGTCCCTTCTTGACCTCAGAGGCAGAACAGATGACACTCACCTGACCTCCCAGTGTGACTGTGCAGCCTCTGTGGAAACAGGGTGGGGGTTCCTGCAAACACTACACATAGAATCGCCTGTGATCCAGCAATCCCACTTTGGGGTATACACCCCCAAAGAACTGAAAGCAGGGCCGCCAAGTGTGTTTGTACATCCCTGATCACAGCGGCATGGTTCATATGCAAGGGTATGAAGCAACAGAAGTGCCCAATGACAGTCAAATAGATAAACAAAATGTGATAAATAGGTGCAATGGAATCTTATACAGCCCTGAAAAGAGAGGAAGTTCTGATAAGTGCTGCCACGTGGCATCTTGAAGACATTCTGCTCAGTGAAATACAGCGGTCACGCCAGGATGGACACTATATGATTCCACTTACATGAAGTCCCCACAGGAGCTTATCGATAGAGACATAAGGCAGGACAGTCCTGGGGGCTGGGGAAAGGGAATGAGGAGGTAGGCTTTAATGGGGACAGAGCTTCTGTTTTGCAAAATAAGAAGAGATCTGGAGCTGAGTGGGAGTGATGATTACACAACAACATGAATGTATTGAAAAGCACTGAAATAGTCACTTAGAAATGGTTGAGACATTTTTAGTGGACTTACCAGTTGGCGCTAGTGGTAAAGAACCCACTGGCCAGTGCAGGAGTATAAGAGTCAAGGGTTCAATCCCTGGGTCAGGAAGCTCCCCTGGAGGAGGACACGGCAACCCACTCCAGTATTCTTGCCTGAAGAATCCCATGGACAGAGGAGCCTGGTGGGCTACAGTCCATGGGGTCGCACAGAGTCGGACAGGACTCAAGTGACTTAGCAGGCACACACAGGCACACACAATTTTAAAGCATCACAATGTGGAGGACACTAGGGATTGAGTTTCCCACCACCACCAACACACACACGCACAGTGAGCATTTATGGGGAGATTTCAGGTCCCAGTTCGGGGCTAAGTGCTCTGCATGAACACGGGTGTCTGACTCTCTTCTAGCACCAGGGGGCAGTTATAAATAATTCACACATGAGCAACTACAGCTTACAGGGGTTAAGAGACTCACACAAATGCACACTGCCAGTAAGCTGCAGATTCAGGATTAAAACTGGTCAATTTTCCACAAAATTCTTTAAGAGTCTCCTTGCTAACCTAATTGAGGAGTCATCTAGCTTCTCCTGTAAGAGTCAGATGGTGCCTCTTTGAGGCTTTGTGGGCCTCTGTGACGGCTTCTAAAAGTCTGAGCTGTAGCCTGGAATCTGCTGTGGAGGGTATGCAAAGAGCCAGCTAGGGTCCAATAACACGGCGCTCACAGAAACGGGCAGTGGCCGGGTTTGGCTGGTTGGCCAGCTCCTGGATGGTTCTTTATAGCTTGGCTAACCCAGGAACTGCAGGCAGTGTTGGGAGGTGTGCAGTTGGCATTGGTGACAATCATCACACTGCTCTCGGGTGCTCAGTCTCTCAGCTGTGCCCGACTCTGTGCGACCCCATGGACTGCAGCCCACCAGGCTCCTCTGTCCCTGGGATTCTCCAGACAAGAACACTGGAGTGGGTTGCCATGCCCTCCTCCAGGGGATCTTCCCGACCCAGGGACTGCACCCGCATCGCCTGTGACTCCTACGATGGCAGGCAGTTTCTTTACTACTAGTGCCACCTGAGAAGCCCACACACTTCTCTAAAAAATTGGGGAAACAGGGTTTATGAAGCTGCAGACTGCCCATCCGGTTCCAGCTCCCTCTCCCAGCTGGAGGGGTCCTTTCACCCCCTCCTTCAGCCTGGCCCCCCAGTGTCCCTCAGCCTCTCACTCAGGACCCTCCAGCCCATGACTCTGCTTCTCTAAGGGACCCCTCCCTGCAAAGCAGTCTTCACCCCAGCTCTCTCAGGAATGAGCCCCAAGGGACACACCGCAGGGCTCCTTGTGGAGGAGGGTGTGAGGTGTGGGGGGGACACGGGCAGAGCTGAAGACCGTCACATCCCTGCCGAAACCCTGTGCATCCATGCAGATCAGGGTCCTCCGCCCACTGTCCAGTAGCAGAATGTCTGCCCCTGGAGCCTGAGCTCAGGGCAGCTGGCCGTCCCCGAGATTGGCTCCTTTCCACCTGTGGTCCTGCCCTGCCGGGCCGGCGGGCTGCCCACCGCTGCTCTGAGCACCTGTCAGACGGCTGGAGCCCGTCTCACCCACCGCGATTGGACTTCCTGTCGTTACACAGGAGAAAGAAGAACGGGCGCACTGGGGGAGCAGCCTACCACAGCATCGGCTGTACCCCAATACAAAATAAAAGACTGGGAAAAAAAAAGAAAACCTGCCCATCTTGGGTCTTCGTCGCCTTAACACCACTGTATGTCCCCCGACCAAAACGCACTTGATGGGTGAGTGAGGGCTGGTGGAGGCAGGGGAGATGCTGTCAGAGCTCCCGCAGAAACTGTGCTTCCTCTAGTCTTGTCCGGGTGAGGCCCTGACTGCAGCATGTGAGACTGCAGGAAGACGTGCGGAAGAACTTTTACACTAGCGGCAGGAAGGCACCAGACCAGGGGTGGGCAAGCCACACCCCTGCTCTGTAAATGGAATCCAGCACCTGTTTCCCTATGGCCAGTGAGCTAAGAATGACTTTTACATTTTTTGACGGTTGAAAACAACATCAAAAGGATAATATTTAGTGACACATGAAAATGACATACAGTGTTCATTTCGGTATTGGTAAGTAGAGTTGCTTGGGGGCGGGCCACACTGTCTGTGGTTGCTGGTGCTGATGTAAGCAAGCAGGACCCTCTGGGGCCTTCCCAGGACAGACCCCTCCCCAGCATCCTCTGTTTTAGACCCTCTCTGAAGGCTACCCACTCCAGTATTCTTGCCTGGAAAATCCCGTGGACAGAGGAGCCTGGCTGGCTACAGACCATGGGGTTGCAAAGAGTCAGACACGACTAAAGCAACTTAGCACGAAGGACCTAGATAATAGTATCTGAAGCACATCTGAAGCACAGATGATAAAAACCACCACCAAACGGAAGATGTTATACAACTGATGACCATGAGCACGTAGCCCCCGGGCCTCCTGTAGCCCTAGGATTGATCACCTGAACTCCTGTGACAGCGCTCTGGTCTCTCACCATCGGCCAATCAGGAATTGTGCTGAACTGATCACAGACCCTGGAACTCTCCCTCCCAAACCTGGCCTTTAAAGATGCTTTGCTGAAACCCCTCAGGGAGCTTGAAGGTCCTGGGCTCCTTGCCTGACCCTGTAATAAACACTACATTTCCTTCTCCACAACCCAGCATCGATAGATAGCTTTATGGCGCAGGAGACAGTGGATCTGAGTTTGGTTCAGTAACCCGGCCACAGAGCTGAGAGTCGCAGCACCTCGTGGGAGTGGCTTGAGCACAGCTGAGACCTGCAAGGCCACAAGTCAGTGCCTTTCCACCTGTGTTCCAGAAGGTTCTTCTCCATGTCTTCAAGAAACTTAAAGTGCAATCACTATTTTCCACACTCCTAGGGGGTTACTGAGTCACAGAAAACAGCCCCCAAGTCAGAGAGCAAGTATAGACCAAAGAAAGCACCCAGGAGATCTGGCTCCCAGTAGAGTCTGGGGTGCTGCCTCCTTCCAGGACAGAGCCAACAGCATCTTTTCTGTTGAAGGACTTCCCTGGTGGCTCAGAAAGTAAAGAGTCTGCCTGCAATACAGCAGACCTGAGATTGATGCCTGGGTTGGGAAGATCCCCTGGAAAAGGAAATGGCAGCCCACTTCAGTATTCTTGCCTGGGAAATTCCATGGACAGAGAAGCCTGGCGGGCTACAGTCCAAGGGGTCTCAAAGAGTCAGACACGACTAAGCGACTAACACTTTCACTTTCTGTTAAAGACATTGCCTCCCAAGGGGCAGGTCCCAACCCAAGAGAGGGAGACCCAGGCCCTTGGCGTTCCAGGTGGGCAGGCCCAGCCCAGGGCCCCCTTACCTGCATATCTGCCCTGGCGATGAAGCCCTTGCCCTCGGTGTCACAGGTCTGAAAGAACTCCTGTGCCCTCCTCAGCATGGCCAGCTGAGTCCCCTCGCACAGCGGGTCATCGAGGGACCCCAGGCAGGCCTCGCTCCCCTGGCGCCCCCGGCCAGATCCCCGGCGTCTGGAGACCATTCTCCCATCAATGGTGGCCATCCGGATTTGTCAATTTCTTCGTCTCTTCAGAACCTGAAGATGGAAGATGAGAGAGAGGCGTGGTGAGGATGGAAAGAGGCTGGAGAAGGATGTGGGGGTTGGCGAGACGGAAGCAGAGAAGCACTTACCTGTGTGCCTGTCTCTCTCTTCATTAGCATTAGCTCAGAACAGGGAAATGAGCCATGATCACTAACAGATCAGCTGGCCCATCAAAGAAAGCAGAGAAGATGGGGGGGCGGGGGCGGGGGATAGAGGTTTCCAGATAGAAAGGAGGCGGCCAGAGAATTGAATCAACAAAAAGATTTAAATAACAAAAATGTGGGTCCTGATAGATCAGTTATCACTTCTGGAGTGTTCCTTTGGAGGCAGGCACCACACCAAGATCCCTCTACACATTTCCCCACCCTTGAATGGAGGGATTTCAGCCCTGGTGACCGGCAGTAGAGGAAAATATTTGGGGTTGGGGCTTCCCTGGTAACTCAGATGGTAAAGAATCTGCCTGCAATGCAGGATACCTGGGTTCGATCCCCAGGCCAGAAAGATCCCCTAAAGGAGAGCATGACAACCCACTCCAGTATTCTTGCCTGGAGAATCCTATCAGTTCTATCAGTTTTTGTTCTATGCTTTTGGCATCTGTTATTAGGTACGTTTGTGTTAGATTACTTTATTCTATTGATGAATCTTGCCTGGAGAATCCCATGGACAGAGGAGCCTGGCAGGCTATCATCCATGGGTTGCAGAGTTGGACACGACTGAAGCAATGTAGCATGCACGCATTGCTGAAAGAATTTTCAGTTCATGGCACAGGAAGAAGAAACCGAGGTGGAGCCTGGAAACCCAGTTATGTGTGTGTTCAGTTGCTCGGTCGTGTCTGACTCTTTGCGAACCCATGGACAATAGCCCGCCAGGCTTCTCTGTCCATGGGATTCTCCAGGCAAGATTCATCAACAGGATAAAGTAATCTATACACAAGTATACGTAATAACAGATGCCAAAAGCAAATGCACAGAATAAGAACTGATAGAAATTCAAGAAGAACTAGACAAATCCACAACCCATCCAGATATCAATATCCCTCTATCAACAATGAATAAAACAAGGAGACTGAAAGCAGAAAGGATACAGAAGACTTGAACCAAACTGTCAAGTATTTTGAACTAATTGACAGTAATAGAAAAATCTACCCAACAAAATCTGAATACACTTTTAAGTGTAACATGAAACATTTACCAAGGCAGTCCATATTCTGGTCCACAAAACAAGATTCAACCAATTTAAAAGGATTCAGTCAAACACAGTATGTACTCTGACCTCACTGGAATTACATTAGAACAACAACAGAAAAACCTCTGGAAAACCACCAAATACGTGGAAACTATATAATGTTCTTCTGAAATCCATGGCTCAAGGGAGAAACGTAAAGGGAATTTAAGAAGCACTTTGAACTAAATGAAACTAAAAGCTCAATATACCAAATTTTGTAGGATAGTGCTAAAGCAGTACTCAGGGAAAGATTTATAGCACTAAACACATATAAAAGCAAAGAAGAAAGGTCTTGGTCCAACAGCCTCATCTTCTACCACTAGAAACTAGAAAAAGAAGAGCAAATTAAACCCAAAATAAGGAGAAGAAACAACAATCAGAGCAGAAATCAATGAAATAGAAAACAATAGAGAAAAACAATGGAGAAAATCAATGAAACTAAAAGCTGGTACTTTAAGAAGATCAATAAAGAGAGAAGACACATATCACAGTATAAGGAATTTGAGATGACACCATTACACATTCTACAGACATTAAAAGGATAATAAGGGAAAATTATGAGCAAGTTTATGCCAATAATTTTATCAATTTAGATGAGATGGAGAAATTCCTTGAAATATCACACTAAATATCAAAGTTCGCTCAAGGAAAAATAAGTAACACGAATAATGCTTTATCTATTTTAAAAATTGAACTGACAGTTTAAAATCTTCCTATAGGAAAACTCTAGGCCCAGGTGACTACGCTGATGAATTCTACCAAATACTAAAAGAAAAACTAATAGCAATTCTATTCAAACTCTTCTGGGAGATTGAAGGATAGGAAATACTTTTTAACATATTCTATGAGGCCAGGATTACCCTGACACTCAAACTAGACAAAAACTTTAAAAGAAAAGAAAAACAGGCCAAAAACCTTCATGAACATAGATGCAAGAATTCTTTAGGAAATTATAGCAGATTGAACCCAACACTGTATAAAAAGAATGATACATCCTGATTAAGTGGGGTTTTATCCCAGGAGTACACGAATGGCTTAATATTTGAAAATTAACACCATAATTCACCACAGTAACAAATTTAAAAAGATAAACTTTATGATCATCTGAATAGACGCAGAACAAGCATTTGACAAAATCTAACACCAACTTCTGGCAAAAACCCTCAGCAAACTAGAAATAGGAAGGAGTTTTCCCAATCTAAAAATGGGTATCTACCAAAAAAAGTGACAGTTAAAATTATACTTGGTGTAAAACCAAATACTTTTGCCCTATGATCAAGAAAAAGACAAGAATGTTGTCTCACCACTTCTATCCAACATTGTTGTTAGCATCTCGCCAGTTTGATGAGACAAGAAAAGAAATAAAAAGCACCCAGATTGGAAAGCAGGAAGTAAAATTATCTTTATTCCCAGACAACTTGAGTGTCTAGTAGGAAATCTGATGAAATTCACAGAAAGCTGCCAGAACTAACATGTGACTTTGACACGTTTAAAAGATACACACTCTCTATACAAAAATCAATTGTGCTTCTGTATGTCCACAACAAAAAGCTGAGACTGAAATAAAAATATCATTTACAGTAGCATCAAAAATATGAAATGCTTATGGATATATCTGAGAAAAAATATGTAATACTCATAGATGGAGAGCTACAAAATATTGATGAGAGAATTTAAAGAAGACCAAAATCAGTGGAGAGAGTTGAATGTTCATGAACCGAAAGACTCAATCCTGTTAAGATGTTATTTCTCCCTAAATCCATCCATAGATTCATCTCAACCCCAATCAAAATCCCAGCGGGTTTTGTAGAAACTGACAACCTGATCTAAAATTCATATGAAAATGCAAAGGACCTAGAAGAGCCAAAACAACTTCAAAAAAAGAAAAACAAAGTTGCAAGAAGAACACTACCGGATTTCATTACATTCTGAGTCTGCAGTCATGAAGACAGTGTAATATTGGTATAAAGACAGAAAAGTAAATAGATAAATGAAACAGAAGATCCAGAAATAGACCTGTATATAGAACTAATTTTTTTGCAAAGGCAGTTCAGCAGAGGAAGTATAATCCTTTTAGCAAATGGTACTGGAATAATCGGATATTCATTTGCAAAAAGGAATTTCAGTTCATACCTTATCCCATATACTAAGATTTACTCAAAACAGATCATAGAGCTAAATGGAAAATCTAAAAATACTAAACTTCAAGAAGAAAGCATCTTTGACCTTGGCTTAAAGTCAAATATTTCTTAGGTACAGTAGCAATAGCATAATTCCTTTAAAAGAAACCCTGATAAATTGGACTTTATAAAAGTTTCAAATTTCTGCTCGTTGAAAGATACCATTTAAGCTCCACAGAGATAAATACTTGCAAATCATGTATCTGATAGAGAATTTTGATCCAGAATATATAAAGAACCCTCAGAACTTAGTAATCAGAAAATAAAAAACTCAATTTTTTAATGGACAAATATTTGAACAGGTGCTTCACCAAATAAGATACATTGATATCAAATAATTGCATAAAAATGTTCAACATTATTAGTCATAAGGGAAACGCAATTTAACACTACAATGAAAAGCCACTATACACCTACTAGAATGTCTGAAACAAAAAAGATTGACCAAGTCTTGGCAAAGATATGGGGTGATGGGATGGAATATTCAAATGCTGCTGGTGAGAATGTACACAAATGTACAACCCCTTTGGAAAACATTCTGTGGTTTCCTAAAAGAGTCAAACAAACTTCTACCATCCTAAATATTTACTAACGGAATAAAAGCATATGTCTGTACAAAGACTTATCCATGAGGTTCACAGAAGCTTTATTCATAGCAGCCAAAAACAGTCGAAATATTCATCAACATGAGAGTGGGTAAAACTGTAATGTAAACACACAATGGGATGCTACTCAGCTTTGAAAGGAGAGAACTATTGTTCCAAGGAACAAACTGTATTGAATTTCAATCATGTGGACGAAAGAAGTTGGATGGAAATAGTACACCCTATTTGATTCCATTTATATAAAATTATGAAAAAAGACGACTAACCTATAGTGATAGGAAAGAGATAACGGAGGGTGGGAGAAGGTGAAAAGCAGGAATGGCAAATGGGCAAGAGGAAACTTTTAGTGGTGTAGATGTGTTCGAAATCTTAATTGCTGTGGTGGTTTCATGGAGATACACATATACATACAGACACTCAGGCACATATATACATACATGTATATACAAACATGGGCTTCCCTGGTGGCTCAGTGGTAAAGAACCTGCCTGCAATGCAGGAGACATGGGTTCAACTCCTAGGTCTGGAAGAACCCCTGGAGGAGGAAATGCAACCCACTCTAGTATTATTGCCTGGAGAATCCCATAGACAGAGGAGGTTGGTGGGCTACAGACCATGGGGTCCCAAAGAGTCGGACATGACTGAGCGACTGAACAACAACTATATGTCAATAGTTCAACAGATCTATTTAAAATATGTATATAGGCCAGCCAACCCCTTCTCATGCTTCCCAGAATTTGCAAATCTTGCACCACCTGCTGTGTTTATTTCCAGAATCCTGACTCCTCCTTTGACCTTCAACTCTGGCAAGCCGGAAATGCCTGAAAATTCAGCAGTTTCCCTGCGCAAACCCCCAGTCACATAGTGTAGGAGCTAAATGAACATGGGGAGGAGGGGAGCAAGGCAGAGCCCCTTCTGCAGACACTTGCCCCAGTCGGATGCATGAGTTGTCTCCTTTCTCCCCTGACTTGGCCAGCAATCTGCC